GGTTTGTAGTTGACTGACCACTAGGTGAATACTGCTATTTTCGCACATTCCATCCAAAACCTGTCTCCGTTGAGTGGGACCAGGTGAATTAGATGTGGTCTGCCTACATACGTTCACGAAACCAGAGAAGAAAATCACTGGCCTTGTGGCGAACTATTTGTATCAAATTGTTTTGTGGTGGCCCTTAAGAGTAGACATAAGATGGATTCGAACATACCGCTGGCAATGGAGTTTTCCGTTCGTTCTCCTCCTTATGATACACGAATCTATTCAACTGGTGTTTCGAATTCCGCTGACCAGGAATGTCCAAAAGCTGAACTGAGTATTATAGTCACCTGTGAAAACCTTCTGGACCGGAAGTCACTCACCTTGGCAATTCGCACAAGAGATGAACGAGACCACAAAATTTTAAAACAATAGCATATATGGTGACCCACCTCATGAAATTATCGCAATATGATATGGTTGTGGGAGATGAAGAGCCACAAGACGTCAAACTACTGGCGGTAGCAACAAAGATTCTTCAGGTTGCCAGCTGGATCAGACCGATAAATGACCCTTAGAAACCTGTGAGACAAATGAATTTTTAGCATTAATAATTTTCCGCTCGACGTTAAAGAGAGTCACGAAAAATAAAATAAATCATTCTGTTGTAACACCCTTTGATGCCTAGCTCGAAGGAAGCACGAGGCTTGGGATACTGCCAGGTTGTTTAAGCCTAGGCAGAAGAAGGCAAGAGGCGGAGGTCGGGTCTGGACCACGGGCCTGCTGGTTAGTAAATTGGTGCTTTAACCACTTGAGCCACCTCGCCTCCAAAGAGAGTCAAATAACGACATGATCTGCTCCCCAACCACCAATTTTTCAAAAAAAAAACAAGCGACGCTGATTTACAAGCTGAAAAATCATCACCTCACCCCTTTCAATATCTGAAGTAGACCCAGAGAGGATAGGTTGTTTAGTCTTCAGTTTTCAAATAATCCTCATAGAAGAGACATTCCACCACTGGGGATATTTAATCTCCTCGGGTGTCTATTACTGCAAGGTTCAGGTATATCTCTCAAATAAAAACTCGAAAAGACAAATTCGTTTATGTAGAATCTATAGAGCTGCTAAATTGTATCCTAAGAAGGTGACATAAAAGATTAAGACAGTGCTGATATGACGCATCCTTGTATCTTTCTCTAAGCTAGCGCCACATATGTTTCAACTAATCCCAGTTTCACCACCCACGCTTGCAAAACACCATCAGTAGCAATGCGGTTTTTCTTTTGTTACATCAAAGAAAGCATTTGGTTAGCAAACGAGTTCGTTATTTACATGCCGACTCCCGATAGGGGAAATGAGATCTATTCTGATAGGATGATGGAACTGGGGAAAGAATGTAGGGATCCACAGAATGGGCGGTTTTCATCAGAAGCTGTCATGAGTTTACGGCGTATTCGTTCTGCTACTTGGCTGGTGCGTGCAGGATAAATTCCTGCATGAGCTTGGCTTCAGGCAAGTTCTTGAGCTCTTCTCCTTGTGCGTGGAATTTCACTCGAACTGAGGCTCAAATTCAGGTACACTGGTAAAACATGTCTTGGAATGTCAATAGCTGTGCACGTGAATCATTGTTTTTTCGTGGGATTTGATTTTTGTTAAATAACTGGCGTTTTTGTTGCCGACTGTGCAAAGACATCGATGCTTGCTGACTGTGTGTCAGAGTCCGCTGTGCAGGAGAACCGCTGATGCTTTGTCGTATTCTGTCGACTATCCTGAATTGGTGCCAGCGATTCAGGCGTTTCTACAAATTTGACGCGTGTATTCAACATGCTGTTGACCTGCAAATCTGAAACGCAAGACAGAAGGGTCAGTCATTTGAATAATGGATGTAAACTAATCAAATATTTAAGGAGCTTCACCCAAAGGCTTTTCACTTATAACCAAAAAAGGAAATGATATATATGTATATATATATATATATAATGTGATATATGCATTTTTAAGGTGGTTATTCGTCAAATATCGTCAGGTTAGTGCGTAATATTGTCTCGAGAACAATTTGTATGCACTAAAGATGAAAAGGAGTCTCTTCCAAAAAGTCACGTGTCCAGTGAATGAGATATGAGGAACACATTCCATATGGAAGAGATTCCAAAACTTTTACTGTATAAAATTATTTTTATGGGAATAAAAACATTAACCAAAGTATTCTGTAAATGCAGGAACTTTTGAAAAATCAACCACGAATGCCCCGTAAAATGAAGTCGGAGTCATGTGGATTTGCAATGTTTGCCAAATGTACCACCAGACACGAACACCAATCACATTTTATGGTTAATTATCGGGATAGAACCATCAGGAAAATTAGGGGGCAATTAGGGGTAGGAATTACAAAGAACAAACGGAGGCAATATCCAATTTTACGATCAAACGAACCAGCCCACGCGGTGCGACGCTACATTTGTTGACATTCTTTGGTGCTTGACACTGAGGACTTTCGTTCGCACGGGTAAGACGTACGCGAACCATTAAAACTGAAAGATAGTTTAGCTACACGGTAGTTTGTGAGGGTGAATTTTTACACTTTATCTTTCGCGTTTGTTCAAAGCAGATTTTGTCCGGCAGAATGTTCGACATTTAGGGGTGTCTTCGGGGAACACACTAGTTATACTTGGAGCTTGGTGTTCGTGCTATTCATCTTACCGAGTTCTAACACTATGTTTTGAGCATTGGCGGTATTGCGGCTGTGTTCTTTGATTATTGCACCTCTCTGAGCTACTTGTATTGCATGTGTTACGGAGACTGCTCTAACTAACGAGCGGTACACCTCCTAGTCTGTAACTGACATCGGCAGCCAACGAGCGGTTTCGCCCTCCTTAGGGCTCATCAGGTAGGCGCAGTTCCTTTTGAATAATGGATGTAAACTAATCAAATATTTAAGGAGCTTCACCCAAAGGCTTTTCACTTAAACCCAAAAAAGGAAATGATATATATATATATATAATGTTATATATGCATTTTTAAGGTGGTTATTCGTCAAATATCGTCAGGTTAGCGCGTAATATTGTCTCGAGAACAATTTGTATGCACTAAAGATGAAAAGGAATCTCATCCAAAAAGTCACGTGTCCAGTGAATGAGATATGAGGAACACATTCCATATGGAAGAGATTCCAAAACTTTTACTGTATAAAATTATTTTTATGGGAATAAAAACATTAACCAAAGTATTCTGTAAATGCAGGAACTTTTGAAAAATCAACCACGAATGCCCCGTAAAATGAAGTCGGAGTCATGTGGATTTGCAATGTTTGCCAAATGTACCACCAGACACGAACACCAATCACATTTTATGGTTAATTATCGGGATAGAACCATCAGGAAAATTAGGGGGCAATTAGGGGTAGGAATTACAAAGAACAAACGGAGGCAATATCCAATTTTACGATCAAACGAACCAGCCCACGCGGTGCGACGCTACATTTGTTGACATTCTTTGGTGCTTGACACTCAGGACTTTCGTTCGCACGGGTAAGACGTACGCGAACCATTAAAACTGAAAGATAGTTTAGCTACACGGTAGTTTGTGAGGGTGAATTTTTACACTTTATCTTTCGCGTTTGTTCAAAGCAGATTTTGTCCGGCAGAATGTTCGACATTTAGGGGTGTCTTCGGGGAACACACTAGTTATACTTGGAGCTTGGTGTTCGTGCTATTCATCTTACCGAGTTCTAACACTATGTTTTGAGCATTGGCGGTATTGCGGCTGTGTTCTTTGATTATTGCACCTCTCTGAGCTACTTGTATTGCATGTGTTACGGAGACTGCTCTAACTAACGAGTGGTACACCTCCTAGTCTGTAACTGACATCGGCAGCCAACGAGCGGTTTCGCCCTCCTTAGGGCTCATCAGGTAGGCGCAGTTCCCGACATTATGCTCTACTTTAAACTAAATTGCACGAAATTAGCGTAATACACTCATTCGCAGACTTATTTGGTTTTGCGATAGACTCACCAGGGACCCAGATGATGTTTCTAGGCAACTGAATGGGCTGCACCAGTCGCTACATATATGTACATATTTCGAATATCGTAGAGACTGAAACATGAGGCGGCCTGATGCATCACGTTCAGTTGCCTAGAAACATCACAAACGATAGATTCAGCTGGGCGCCAGGTGAGTCTCTCGAAAAACCAAATAAGTGTGCAAATGAGTGCATTTCGCTGACATCAGCAGACTTTGGTCGTTACACTTATTCTCACGCAAAAGATATATTGCACAATAGCGAGCTTTTTATCTGAAAGGGGCGCACCGTTACCAAATTCTGAAACTCAAGGCGCACGCTTATCGGTCAGCTGAAGTGATGTGTTACCTCAAGTATGTCAGATCGGTTCCTGATGCCTAGCTCTTGGACAAACTATGTGGACCAATCAGAGCTGTTAAACTGCCAAACTTGGATTCAAAATTTCATCAGTTATTTTCTACAAGGTCACCGGCATAATGGTTTAGACAGTTTGTCAGAGAGTTTGTCGATTAGAGATGAAGCCTGTCCAACCACAACAACCATGGTTTGACGCGCACATGTCATAAAAACATCACTTGATAGTTAGGAAACTGATGGGTCAGTTCGTTCTAAACCCGGAGCCCTTACATTTGCACATCAAACTGTTTCGCCCCATGTGCATGAGTGTGTTTTTTAACTCGGCAGAAAAGATTTGATTACTTTGGAGGCTAAATGCTTACACCCAGATCTGATAGTGACTGGCGATAGTGGTAGTTTATTCGAATGCATACTATGAAAACAGACAAA